CCCTGATATATTTTTTAACTTCTGTAAAGGTTGGGTCATTATGAACGCTGGGGGAAAATATAAATATTCTTGCAAATGAATTTCTATAAACATTTAAGATAAGGTTCTGAACCAAGACTGTTTTGCCACCTGTCGAAGAAGCAACTATAATACTTCTAAATGGTAATTTTGGCACGTGCTCATATTTAGATTGTTTGAATTCATATTCAGTTATGTTTATTGGCTTTATTATTGGAACATCTGACATAATAAAATAATATTAAAGTTATTTAGAAAATATTTTATATTGATTATTTTATATGAATAGAAGCTATTCAGATTATATCAATATAATAGATGAAGTAGAGAATATAGAACAAGTTGTTATAACTGATAATAGATGTAAAAAAATATGTTATTTTATTTTAGAATTAATTAAGTTTGTGATACAATATATCAAAAATAATAAATATTAATATAAATGGGAAGAAAGAAAAAGAATAAGACTGAACCAGTTGTTTCTTCAACTGATGAAGACAAAGAAGAAGTTGTTAAAGAAACATCAGTTATTGAGTTTGCTTGTCCGATGTGTAAAAGAATATTAGAAATGAAAAATGAATTAGAAATTCAAAAGAAAGGAAATTGTAAATGTTCGTGTTTTCCCACAACTTTCAAAATTAGTAAAAATGATAAAAAAATGAATATTGATAAAACTAAAGACAGTATCAACTTAGAAACAGATGTTCATAATATTGCTATCAAATGGGGAAGACATGCATCGCCATCCGATAATGGGGATAAGGAAACTCAGGAAACTGTTAAACAAATGATGAAAAATTAGTGTTTAAAGAGTAGATTTAACATAATTTAAACATTTAGTTTTAAAAGTTTTATTTTATAATATAATATATATAGTTACATGGATGAAGGATTAGAAAAGATGGTTAAAAAACTGAACAAGGTTTTAGAACAGAATAAGAATATTTTAGAAATCTTGCAAGAAATGGAAAAGAAGAAACCTTTAACAAACAGTTATCAAAGTAAGGAAGTAGATCGAACCAATGGTGAATATAAAAATAAAAGAAATATTTATTTAAACAAACTTAATAACAAAGAAATTAAAGAACCGAAGGCTTCAACTATGACATTTTATCAAATTGACTATGATGAAGATACAGGGGTTTATTCTTGATTAAAAACATGTTTCTCTGAAAATCCGTTTAAAGACATATTGGCATAACTAATATTATGAGTTCTACAGATGATGAAGAAGAAACAGGATGCACAATGGTTTATCCTTGCAGTAAATGCGACGAAGCAAAGCCAAGAAAGGACTTTCACAAAATGTATGACAGAATTAAAATGGAAGAGATATTTTACAAAACATGTAAGGAATGCAGAGACAAAGTAAAAGCAACAAAAGAGTTAAGGAAGGAACAGAAGAAACGAATACAACCCCTGGAAATACATAGATTAAAGCCTTTGATACCATAGTTTTGCTATACTTACAACATGTAAGATCTTATATGTTGTAATTATAATTCGCTTGATTTAAAAGTTTCCCTGAAAATGTATTTAAAGAAATATTACCTTAATATAATAAGAGGAAAATGAACGATGATGAAATCAATAATTATATCAATAAAAAATGCTATGATTGTTGTCACTTCAAAAAAGAAAATATGGAATTGTATAAATTAAATTTACCTAATGAAATAGTGAATAATATTATTAATTATTCAATGGATGAAGAAGATTTATGTAAAATTTGTAGAAATTGGAGATATTATCAAGAATTAATCAGATGTCTGTTGGGAATAAAAAGAATTCGACATAGAAATGTAGAAGATGATATTTTAATATTTCTAACTGTAAATAAAATACCACCTTATGATTATGTTAAACAGTTTCTTAAAATTAGTATGAAAAAATATGGAATGATGGATGATATATTATGGTTGTTGTGTTATAGTCAAGATAAAGGAGAAGATGTTAAAGAAAATATCAAATTATTTATTGAAAGTAAAAAGTTTAATGTTCAGAATACAGTGAGAGATGTTAATATTATTTTTAAAATGATGTATGAAAGAAGAAAGATTTGTCAATTAAATTATTATCCTGTACTGAAATTGTAATCATAATATAATTATAACATATAAATGTTTATATGTTATAATTATAGTTTAATTTTCCCATATAAGCCGTGGGGGTGCTTTCCTACCTAGGCCTTTCCCGATCCGCATTTTGCCATCCATATTTTACTGGGATTGTTTTCAAGATTTGGGTTAACGGTTTCAATTCTCCCTTTTCCATTGGTTAACCATTTTTCGGGGCGAACATAGCGTTCTTTTTTAGACTGTTTGTATTTGTTGGAAATGGGAAAGGGTCTCAGGTTGGATCAAGGGAGAAATTATTGAGATCTTGGGGTTGCGATCTTGGGAATGAAAAAATGTTGGTATGTAGCTTGGATTTTTTTGGTGGGATTTGTTGAGGTGGTATGTAGTTATGATTGTTGTTATTGAATGAGTGTAAGGGTGATGTTGAGATGGGGTAAGAAATGAAGATGGGTGTGTGAATATGTGTTTTTTGGTGTTGGAGTGGGTGGGTGATTGAATTTGAATGTTGAAAATAGGCTGTTTTAGTGGGCGTATTTGAATTGTGCCCAAAAGTGTGGGGGGGACCCTAGGACTGGATGGCAAAATGCGGACGGGAGAGGCCTCCACTAACTCAATGGCCCCCCCTTGAAGTTCGTGGAGGACCGCCGCGGAGCGGTCCACCGCTTCCACCTGGTCCGCCTTCTTGGCCTCCTCCTGGGCGATGGTGGTGGCGTTGAGCCGGGTCTGAATCTTGAAGGCCTTCACCGCAGACGGGTGGAAGGCTCTGCATTCCTGGCCCTCTTCCTTGTCGCCTGGCAATGGGGGCCTCTCCCCCGGTGGGGCCGTCAGAAACTCCTCGTCCAGCTCCATGGGGCAGTTCCTGATCACCGCCCGGACCGAGGAGGGGACGAAGTCCGAGAAGCTGGCCTGGTCCGGGTTCTCGCAGGCCATCGGGTCGGTGGCCAGCTCGCTGACGTCCACCGAGGCACTGAGCTTGAGGTCGCGGGCCCGGTCCGTGTCAGGGCCTTCGGCACCTGCGGACCGGGCCGCCGTCCAGACCGCATTGCCCTGGTCATCCACCGTCAACTGCCAATGCGTGCCTGCCATCTCCAGGGTGGCCGAGTTGGTCGCCATGTCAATGGGCTCCGTCTTCTTGCCGCACCCCATGCACTTCGTGGCGCCCTTCTTCACCCAGGGCATGGTGCAGCAGGGGCAGATCCAGGATGTGGGCACCTTGCCCAGGGGGCGGTTCTCCAGGCCCCCGTACCCCAAGCCAGCGCGCTTGCCAACCTGCTGTCCCGGGGTGCTGAGCCGGGCCTCATGCTCGTACTTCATCTTGGCGATGTAGAAGGCCTCCACAACGCGCTCCAGGCCCCCCTGCTTGAGTTGGGGGCCCTCAAAGCCTCGCAGGAGCCGCTGGACGTCCTTGGCCTGCAGTCGGCGGAGCCTAGTGGCCGTGGTCGCATCGAAGCAAGGGAAGTCGCCCGCCATCTGGTCGTCGCTGAACTGGTAGAGGCCCTCCGAGACCTTGAGGGCCTTGGTGAACACGCTCCCCCCCGGCGGGGGGGCTGCGGGGTTCTCATCCTCCTCCGAGGACGCCTGCTCCTTGACCTTCGCCATCAGCTCCCGGCGCCTCTGCCACTTGGCGTCTGCCCGGGCATCCAGGCGGGTCTCCTCCAATCGGGCTGCAGCCGAGGGGGACCGGGGCATCGGCAGCTCCTTCTCGTCCTGTGCCCGGAGCTCCTCCATGGGCACGTCCTCCTCCGGCGGGTTCAGGAGCTCCAGGAACGCCCCTGGGGGGCGTGTCAGGGCCTTCGGCACCTGCGCCACCCCAGGGGCTGCATCTTCCATCGGCTCATCCTCTGCCTTGCGCTTGGCCGGGATAAGGGGGGTCTGCTCCAGCTCATCTGCGCTTGAGAAGAAACGCTCGTCAGGTGCCTGAGGGACCTCGGCAGCCAAAACGGTCCATCCTTCTTCCTCCCTCTTCACGAGGCTCGCCAGGTACTTTGCCATGGAGGCCTTTGCCTTAGCCTTAGCCTCTGCTACCGCGGCACCGGCGTAGGCGGGGGCGTACATGGCTTTGAGAGAGGGGAAAGAAAGATTTCAAATCACAAGACCAAAGATCAAAAGGTCCACTTGAGCCAAAATGGTGGCCCAAGTGGATACTTATTAAGAGTCAAGACAAGCGACCACCTACGGTTAACGCTTTAGCCCATTATCCGGAACAATGATACAACCATGTTGAACCTCATTGACACAGCTTTCTGTGCTGAAAATCCAACCACTGAGTCGATAGATCGCTTCAAACGCCACGTGGGTCAGTCCAGACGAAGCTCGCTACTTCCACTCATACTGGGCAACAATCAGATAAGTTAGCATGGGTGCAAACACACTTGGAGATTTCAACTGGGAAATGGGTGGGCCACCATTTCGGGGTCCATGTGCCAATCGATTGTTACTAACTGTGGAAGGGTACAAAGACTTCTGATAGCATCGAACACTCTGGTGCAAAGTAGAGGCGAGTGACATCACTGAGAAATGCATCACGCAAGCACGAAGATATGACGGCCCTATAAGGATCCAAGAAGAGGCTTTCTCATGAGGGAGTCATATATCAGAGTCACCCCTTGAATTGAACGTTTCACCGGGGAAACAGCCAGTTTAATCATGAGCCAAGAGGAACACCGTCTAAACGTCCCCATATTGCCTGAGCAAGGCCCCGTTTTAAAGTGGGCAACTGGAACTGAAAATTGACAAAGTGTTCGAAACTGCAAAATTAAAAAGGAGAGGAATCTCAGTTTGGGAATGGAAGCTTCTGCTGTGCTGCCTGACCGCGGCCCCCGCATTTCTGCAGTTCCCCAAACCCAAAAACCCTTCCACCAGAAAGCCACACTCTGACAGGTCCCCTTGGGCAGACGACCTGATTTAGAGTTGTGCGTCGCCATATGTACCTAAAAGCGACTTAGTTCCGTTGAACTTGGCGCTGGAATCGCGCCCTCAGATTTCGGCTCGGCGGAATGCAAAGAAAAAAACAAGCAAGCAACAAATCGAAAAGGCAAGCAAGCAAGCAAGCAAGCACGCACGCAAGCAAGCAAACAGCAAACAAAACAACAACATCTCAACAATAAGGCTTCATAGCAGGCCCTTCATGTCAGCTAGCCAGGGTTCAATCAGGGGCTTGTGCTTAAGTTGTACGTGCACCAAGCTCCGACAAACACGTGCATGGCTGACACGGATGTGTCAAACAATTGACCCTCCACATCATTCGCATTATGCTGCTTCACTTTAAGTACCATGTCCTTACAGAACACCTGGTAGCTCCTTAGCTCCCTCTTCAAAGACAAATTTGGATACCCTCAGCTCCTTGGCTCCCTTCCAACGATTGGCTAGTAAATCCGCCTCCATCTTTTGACTACCCAAGATAGACCCAAACTCAGGGTGGTCCCTTTTGGGGACCTACACCACCCCTGGGTTTCAGCCCGTCTGGCGTCGTCAAAAATGGGTAGTCTTGGATTCCCACACAAATCGACATCTAGCAACGTACGTCCGTCGCAGGCCGGGGGCCAGGCAATGTCGAAGAGCTTCTTTTCATCTGCAGCTCGGCGTAAGAAGTCCCAGCAGTCCTCCACAAATAGCCTCAGACCGGAGAGCTCCCATGGAACCTGAATCAACGCACGCAACTTTTGCCTGAACAAATGCAACCAAAGAAACCAAAAGTGAAAGCGTTTGCCAACTCAACAAAGGTGTGGATTTCATGTTTCTCTTTGGGCCTCCCTATCGGTTGCTTGCCTAGGGGCTTCCGTACTTGAGAAGCCTTTTGTGACACTGCACTTGCCATCCCTATGAATATCGTTGACGAGGCACCAAGCCGCAAAGTCTTGAACCTGGGTTTCCAACCTAGAGAATCCTCGCCGATGCCGCGCTACACCCGGATCTGACCAGATATGACCAATGGCTGTCATAAGGGAGCTCAATTTGTTGGTCATAGTGGTTTGGGGAGAGATGTCTTTCTTTCAGACGGATTCATTATGAATGCGAAACTCTCCTGAACCACTCTTCACCTGACAAGGACCGCAAACTGTGGTATGTCCTTGCAGAACTCCTGGTAGATCCAAAAGTGTCCCTCTTGAAAGGCACATTTGGACACATATATATATATACACATACATTTATACCCACAGCTACTTGGCTCCCTTCTATCCACTAGCTAGTTACATATCATGATGTTCCATAACATGATAGCATTGCTTTCTCTCATCTTAAGACTGCTGACTGCTGCTTGCTCAGAATTCCAAGCGTGGCCCGCTTCCAAAACTAGCGAGTGCTGGTGTTTGGTGTTGGTTGTTTAATTTTGAACAAATGGGAAGCATCGCCAACGCAAACACCTGACAGCGCTGGGCACTGGGTAGCTACGACTACGTACAATTTTCCCACGGCAATTCTATTGCCCGGCTTGCCTCAGCAAGTCTTGCTCGACCCCATGGACTGACTTGGATTGTTTCTGGCAAGTTTTAACAAATCTGATAAATCCATCCGCGTGACATGGAGCAGCGTCTGACCCGAATGAGTTGATGCCTATAGGGTACACAGGAGAGAGCGGAAGCTGGGTCGATGAAGCTAACCATATGCGAAGCAACAAAATCTAGGCTTGATAGTGGTCAACCGGTCAAGTCCCAAAGGGTGCTAACAAGCTAAAAAAGCAAGAACCATCTTGCCTAAACATTGTTCACATGTCCAGTGATCAAAGGATAGCTCAATGCACACAGCAGCAACACCTCAAATGTGTGTAGAGCCAATCAGCGTTGATAGGAACCACCATAGAGGTGTGTCCTTTCTAGGGCGAACCTCCTGTTGGTAGGTTTTGTAGGGAAACCAAAGGAACCATTTCAAAGGGTGCCCTTTGTTGACACATACCGTCCATCCATTTCGTATTAGCTCGTGTCGCCGTGGCCGCGGAATGCAGGGACTGCAGACACTGAGAGTCGCACGCGTGCTTGGCATCACTTGCTTGATCGAAGCTTCTGCACACCTGGCACACGGATTTGGAGCAACACGGGTGCCGCAAGAAGAGCATCTGGCTATGGGTCAAAACCCAAATCGTACCCCCAGTGAACATCCCAATCCCCACTACAATAGACTCAAATGGGCGGGGCACCTACCCCAAAATGGTACCATTGGTGCTTGCCCACGGCCATAGGCCATATGGGTGTGAATTTGAATGAGTCCTGGACTCTCTGGCGGACATCATTCAGGTGGGGGTTCATTTTCCACCAACCACTTTTGAGGCGGCACCCTGATAAAACATCATAGCCATACGTATACTGGAGATTGAGTACTTGTAAATCGTGTACTAAGAGTCTAAATCTCTGTTTCTATGAAGTAATGAACTTGAAAACACGTAGCTTGAAACACCTTGGTGGTGCTTTCAACAAGGGCGTGGACAAGCTCACAGGCCCAGTTTTGCTTGCACATGGTTGCCTGGATGCGCGGACTCGCTCTTGGCCAAGCCCAAGGATTCCTTGTTCGAAAACTCGCGTAGAACATGGCGAATTTGCGCCGAGCACTTAATTAGCTGGAATTATCAAAACTACACCTCCAGGCACGCCCCGCAAGTCTAAGGCTCCTTGTGCCTTCCTGACAAGAGACTTGCACATGCGACACTATGATCATGGTACCAGAGTTTCAACGCGGCATGTTGGGCACCCACATCCACGGATGTTGCTGCGCGAAACATGGAAACGTCCGGCATGGTCGCCCCATGAATAAACCCCATGAATAAACCCCATTCTTCCAGGGGAAGGAGAACACCCTTGAGAGCTGGACATAGCCATACATAGCCCGCGGCTTCGATTCTGAACCAGTCTTCCTCAGTTTCCATTTGAGTCACCCATGACCCTTGCAAGATCCGAGCGCCTTGGCGTCCAGTCCGTTCAAGGCAAAGTTGCGGCGGCATTCCTGCGTCCCAAAGGCGAATGAGTCGATGGGCTGTGGGAAATGGAATCCACTTCTGTGATACAACAGCAAGGGCTTCCATGGCTTCCGACTTCCCAAAGACTAAACCCCCCAATATTGCAGAAGTGGGGGGATAAACCCCTTGATCCCACAACCCTGGGAATGAGTTCGGTTCTCTTGAGTTGGTTGTGCAAAGTCTGACGTGACTCAAGGCGGTGTGCAATGTACGGATTCATGCATGTACTGTAGTTCACAGTCCACGGCAACCCCAATATAAGCTTGCTCTTTGTCAAAGGATCGGACAAGCAAGCTGACAAAAGTGCAAATAGTGCAAGACAAACAAAATCAGGATACAAAAACCTACTAAACCATGCGCCCTTACTTTTGTCTCACGCACCACAGTCTGGACAAAATCCTGGCAAAATGTGTGGGAGGAATCAGACTACATCCAAATCCGATCATGGCCGTTGCGCTGTGATATCTCATGGGAGTTCTCAGTTTTCTTCCTTCTTTCGATTGCATCCCAATAAAATCACATGCTCAATGCTAACCTCATCGCCGAACCCAACCTTTCTGGGCAAACAAAGGCACAAGCCGAACCGGGAATTACTCCTCAAATTGGCTTTTGGAAAGTTCTCTCTTAAGACCAAGTCTGCCTGTTCAACTCTGCGTTCTGACGCCTTCCCGTAGAACATTCCCGTGATACCAAAGTGAGAGATTCCCAAGACTTCTTGCTGTCACGGGGATTCTTCACAGAAAGTGGCAAACTAAAAAACAGACTTTCCACAACCATGGAGTTGTCAAAATTGGGGACCCTTCTTGGTATCCCCTGGAAAAGGCAGCGACCGCCATCAAGGCCCAACGAGCAATCGTTTTGCCGACCCCAGGATTTCCCTCCAAAGACAGACACAAACAAACAACATGGCACCGACAAACAAAGGCACACACAAGCCTCCCAGCCCCCTTGGTCCCAACCACTGCTTTTTGGACATTCGGATTTTGGACCCGGAAAAAAACAACGGCAAAGGTGGAGCTTGCTGCCGGGGTTCTCGTTCTTTTCGCGAGAAACCCAGGCTTCCCCCTTAAAGGAAAACCGCGGCACACACGGCGAACGCGGTGAACGGAGCGCGAACGGATCGCCGTTCGGCGCCTCCATGGCCTTGGGCGCTTGGTCCACCGCCCAGGTGGCAGCGCCCTGCATGGCCGCCGCCAGGGCGAAGCCGCCGGTGTAGCCTCGGGCGGCGGGGGGGGGGCTGAACCCCGGCGAGGCGCGGAGGGGATTGGTTGGGAAAACGGTTTTGAGACTAGGTCCTCCAGAGAGGTTAGAATGAGGGTCCCCTTTTTTCTGTAGTCTATTGTAGTAGGGGAACCCTCCCCCAAAAAAGAGTTAAAGGGCACTACTGGGGGACCTAGGAGAGCCGGAGGGTTTATAGGGAAGGATTCCCTCATTCCCTGAGCACCAGCAAGAAAAGGTAAGGGTGCTGATGCTTCTCCAAATCTGCTGATTTGATACGCAAAAATTCGGAGGTGTCTGATTTATGTGAGAGGGAACTTGCAATTTCAGGTGCCTCAAAAGGGTTGAGGCACTCTCTCAGAAACTGATGGTCTCGACTACAAATGACATCCTTGACATGACCCTCTGGCGACAAATTGACCAAGCTGGCGCTGGGAACACAACATCCAACGCGGTTGTGACCATATATGGGGCATGCCACTCCCATGGGGAAATCGTGAAGCCCAAGCTAAACGATTCCATTGAGTTGTTGTTAGCTTAGTTGTGGTTGTTTTAAACAACGCATTGTGCGCGACAAAGGACCCTTGGGGCGCTGACGCGGGAAACAAACAAGCTGTTCGTCTGCGTGTGTGTGTGACTATGTTAAAGACTGTCGGAGGATGTCTATGATATATACTTCATGTGCGGCCTACGGTGCTGCCAACAAACAAACATATCTAGCCCAAATAAGTAAGCAAACTTCATGTGATGCAGGCTCTAGACAAAGGCAGCTGATGCTTATAAATCAAGCATAATGGCTGAAACTGTAGACACCTACCCGCTGAGACATGGCAAACATACCCATATTCCAGATCTGACACTGTCAAAGTACCTGCGAGTCGTGCGCAACCTGTTTAGACAAACAAATAGCAATAAATATTTGTTGGACACAAGAGACTGTTCTCGGACAAGACCAACATTCTTCGAGCATGGGCTAGTTCTCGTAACTACAAGAAACAAAACAAACACAAAGCCGGAGGGGTGAGTCTGCGTTTAGCAGGGAGGCCGGAGATTGAAACAGGACCCGTGGAGCCGAACGCAACAAACCAACTGTTTAGAAACCAACCCCAATCATCGTTCAATCTCTTAGAAACGCATGAAACGCGATATGACGTCCTTGAATGTAATTACATGGTGGTCCAACACCTTCGATGGGCCTGGGCGCGCCATGGCGTCTCATGCTGGTCAGCCCTCTGGGCTCCGCCGTCGCCGCCAAGCCACTGAAGAGGTCCAGCACATCCTGGAGACGTTGCCGCGACGTGACACAAAGGGACACGCAAGCCCCTCAAGCGGACCCGCGCCCAGAAGACAGAAAAGCAAAAACACAAATACCAAAAACGCAATGCCCGTGCCATTTATCCAAGTCACGTCTGCACAACCAGAATGCTGGCCGAATCTCTCCTTCCCTGCCTTCAGATCCACATGATCTTGATTGATTGATCTTATTCACCCCGTGTAGAAGGCTCAACCTTGACACGTCACGAGACGGCTCACTGTGCCTTGTCTCAAGGGGCGCCCAGCCGGTTCGGCCAATCCCTTTGACATGATTGAATACCTCGTGCTGGTGTTCCGTCTCTAGGGGTGCCAGGGTTTAGCTGGTTGGTAAATACCCTTGGCCTTGCAATCATGTTCAGACGAAAACCAATAGCAGCACATGCAAATTGCGTGCTTGTTGTCTCCATTTGGAGAGTACCGACATCCAGAACCACATGGCAGATTTCCGTCCTGCGCAAAATGGCCCTTTGACGTCACCTGTTTTCGGAGCCAGTCTGCCATACCTTCAAGAGGACACCCATAGGTCAACCCGAGACAAACACATGGGTTTGCGTCAAAATTATACCACCAGGGGACCGCAGGTTTTAGTCTTCCAGGGTTGCGTTTTGGGGTTACCCTATTTTGACCCACACATTTGGGAACCTATTTTTGACCCACACATCCATATTGTCATAATTACCATCCAAGGAAGTGCCAAATCCGCCAACGGAGTGACCATCGCACTGTCCTTGCCCTCGGCGAGCTCTCGAAGCCGCTTCCTGGGAATTGGTTTCTGGAAAGCGAGCGGGAAGAAGGGGACCAGTGTTTCCGTGAAGGACTGTGCTTCCATGTTTGTAGGGGTTTAGGGTTTAGGGTGCCTGAAGACGGATAACTTCCCGAACGAATTACAGACACATGCGGAACTTACCGAAAAGCCGTGTGAGAAACAAAACAAATAGGCTTCAAAAGTTTCATGCGGGGGAGAAAAGAAAAAGCGATGAATCGCACCTGAGCGTTCCTGGCACATGCGATGAAAACAAGATTCTGAAAGGAGTCTGGGGCCTGGATCTGCTGAGCCTAACACGAATGGCAGCCGTCTGTTCACCACCCAAACCAGGTGTGTTGTGCGAGCCTGGGGGGAGGTGCAATACTACACATGCCAGGCGATGCAAGCCGCAGCCGTGTGTCTATCGTACCGGTTTAGGGTCTCCACAGCCTGCATTAGGTTTGGCTCAATATATCTGCCTCAAAATAGGCGAACCCTCCAAATAGTTGATTTTTCTCCAAAACGAAGCAAAAAGGGTACACTCAAAACGAGACACCCAGATTTATTCCGTCGCAAAGGCACCGATTTGGGCGCTGGTCAAGGAAGAAGCCCGTCTTGTGGCCATGTCGCAGCTTGGCCTCTCAAAGCGATTCCTGTCCTACCTACTAATTGGGGGGGAGGGTTCTGGTGTCGGGCTGAATAAACCGCTAGACGAGGACACTGCTGAAACCACCCTACTTCTTAATCAATCAGAGCCTTACTAATCCTGGGTTCCCATTATCGTCCCAGTGGGTAACCACGGGAAGCCATGTAATTAATTCCTGGAGGTAAGGAATCCCTCCGTACCTACTTTCATGGTATCTCTCTTTCACTGGGTGACATAAAAGCGTCACTCGCTGCAAATCACTTTGTAGGAAGGTTCTGGCCTTGCGACTGCAGCCATGTCGCTCCAGGACCTGGTGGGGTCTGTGAGCTGCATTTGGGGTCGCTGAGAAGGGAAGTCAACCGCAAACCAAGCGAAATATGTGCATTTAAACACACACACACACACACCCATTTGACAGCTGTCAAGCACTCACAAGCTGGCTGAATCCACTGAAACCACGGCGTTCCAGAGCGAGTATGTCAACAGTTCTTGACTCCGCTCGAGCGTGCTTGGCCTCAACATGCCAACATCAATGAAGCCGCCCACGTTTATGAGCCTAGCAGGCTGCGCATAAGATATGTTATTTTAAAAATAGCGCATGCACAATAATCGCACACGCACTTGACAGCACCATCAACACCAGCACAATGGCAACTGCTGTGCAGTTCCGGACTCTTTTGAGCAGCAGCACGTGAGCCAATCACAACAATGATCTGAAACAATTGTGCAAACTCTGAAGGTAGGTGTTTGGCTACGCGGCAGTTCTGCAAAGCTTGGGCAGCAGTTTTGCCTGCGTCAAGAAACACCTACATAAACACTCTCGCAAAGTGCTATGCTTTCAAAACTATAACAGGTTCAACAGATCATTTGGGATCTGCAACATGGCAACATGTGGGCAACGTGTGCAACACTTCTGAAAACAAGTAAGGGACAGGGACAAGATTGGGGACAATAATCTGGGAGAGCTTGTTGTACCCGCGGATCGGGAAGCTTGTTATGTGGGCAGCTGTCTATAAATCACTCGTCATTGATTCGGAACGCACTGCAGCAAGCTCTCCTTTTGTTCGTGATTGGGAAGCAGTCATGTTCTCCAGAGAGAAGCCTCAAGAAGGTCAAAGAAAAAGGTAAGGAAACGGCAAATGGCTGCCGGTCAAAAATGGGTACCCAAAATTCAACCCTGGTAAATGGAAATGTGAACTGGAATCTGCGGTCCCCCTGGTTGTTTAACCCACAGCCAAATCACTCGAGCCTGGCCTCATAGCGAACTCCGTGCTCCGCAAACACCACGGTCTCCGGCGCTGCCTTCCCCCAGAGCGTCTCGCCGCTATTCTTGCGAAGCCTCGGGAGAACCATCCGGGCTTGTTTGGCTGGTTTCCGGCATTTGCACATGGGTCAAAACAATTGTACCCCCAGTGAACATCCCAGTCCCCACTAAAATAGACTAAAATGGGTGGTGCACCTACCCCAAAATGGTACCATTGGTTTTGACCCACAGTCATTTCAATGCGGTTCTACTCAACACTGTGCAAACGCGTCATGACCTTGCCCAAGCGTCAAAGTCAGCAGATAACTGCATCACATCACACGACTATGCCTGCTTCGATCCTCTGCAAACAATTTACAGTCTGCTAGACAGTACAGCTTGGAATGCATTGTCCTTCTCGAGATGAAACAGGTTGCGGCCAAATCAAAGTGTGCGTATGTGGAACGGGGCACCCCCAGCAAGGTGTTGTTCCTTTCGATTTCGCGTTTAACCAGCCTAAAAAGGGCACCCTGAATTTCACCCTGAAAAGGGTGCCCTTAACAAGCAAACCAACCCCCATCGTGAATGGATGAAACGCTTCACCTGCCAAGGCTCACACCCTGCAGCGCATATCCTGGGAATGAGCCACGCGGTCTCAAAACTCGACCCCACTTGGACGATTGGCCTCGCATAAGCTTCGGCGTGTTTGGCACTCTCTGGCACTCTGGCCCCTGACATGATAGGGCCACATGGCTGGGTCCTTTTGAGTCCACAACAGCTGGAAGCTATCTTGGGTGCGGTAGATCCCCCGGCAAAATGCAGCTGAAAGGAAATATGAGGGGAATCCAAAATCTTAGTCTAAAGATCCAACCCAATAGCAGTGGAGCTATGGGGTCTCTGCCCAGATCGGCTCCAGAGCGATTCGACGCTTGCCCTCAGACCGGTTCCGGGGGTTGCTGTTGGGGATGCTACCTGAGCTTTTAAGGGTACCCGCTGTGGAGGCTCACCTTTGACACACATGATGGCGGCAATTTGGATTGGAAGGTCATGCCGCTTCTGACGGCAACAGAAAACCCATAACGCTTGGCCGAGACTTCAAGCCCGGACAGGGCTCGAAGCATTGCTGGGACCTCAGGTTTGTGCTATAACCATGTGTCCTCTTTGGTTGTTTTGGTAAAAACAATACAAAGATCTCGTTGACCTGGCTGTTTCATAATCTAGCAGCACCATCTATTTTCCCAAAAGGACACCTATGATCCTCACA